CCCCACCCCAAAAAAAAATAATAAAAAAGGGGAAAAGGAAATGCAACAGGAAAAAAACAAAAGAGGGGATGAAAATGGAGCATAAAAATATGAGGACTCTCAATTTTCAAACATCAGTATTTGTCATATTGGGAAGATAAAAAGTTCTAGTCGATATCCTAATATATACAACAGTGGTGGCGATGGAGCTATTGACAAAAAAAGCAGTCCTTGGATCTAAAGCATTTCCACCCCAGTTCCTCAGAGAAATCATATCACTCTGAAATTCATCCTGTCAACCCTCGCTTCCACCACCTTGAAAAGAGACACCAACGAGGGGAAAAGGAGAAAAACAGGAGTGTTTGATAATTAAAAAAAGAAAAAGAAATGGTTAAATGATGACAGTTCTTTGGGTGTATGTCAAAGAGTCTGGGGGTCGTAGACAAAGGGGAATTCAAGGAAATAACCACCCTCTGATGACAAAATTGTGAGAGGCTAATCAGTTTTCCATTTGATTCTATCTGCAAAAAAGGAACAAGAAAAAGTTAGCTAATATCACCAATTAGTTGAGAAGCAGGTCTGCTGCTATCTTATGGTTATAGGAGCACAACTGATATGCTAAGGTAAGTGTCTATCTTCACTTCTTCAGAAGTAATATATTTCTAAATTAAACATTCAGTAGTAAAATTACCTAGAGGACTACATTAAGATGCCCTAAGGTGAGATGTGAGGATCATATCTGGTTTCCGTATACGTTTTGATTTCCATGAATTGACTTTGATCAAGAGAATCTTTCTCCAAGCTGTTTGATTCTGCAACTCCACAAATGCAATAGTCAATTCAATGTCGCAATTCATGCATATATGTAAAGCATAAAGTTCTGGCAACAGTTAAAATAGACAAAGTGATAAATCGGTGAAAGGATGTCAAAGCTGATTAGTCCTAGGAGTTGGGCTAAAGAGGGAGCGCTACCAGGGGTATAGGTTTCATCATCCAAATTGTTGCCAGTGCAGAAAGCAGAAAGATAAGAACTGAAGCAGACAACCAAGCTCTGATCAAGGAAAAACCGACAGATATAGAAATGTTGTGAAATGTGTTTGGTAAAAACCAAGTTATCTTACTCCCATGAACATCAAGCTCCTTTCTTATGTATAAAATATCCATTGGCAAATGGTTTTAGTTATATTAGCGGAAAATAACAGCCTTTTTCTGCTCGATAAGATCTATATGCCATAGCAAACAAGGTAAGACAATGCACGAGACAGCAAGTAAATTGGAATTTAGGAAAATTTTCTGGCACAAAAAAGGTAACGATACAAATAGACATTTTTTCAGACATTAAAGATAGCACAATCAATCAGAAAAAGCTAATTTAACAATTCTTAATACGAGATGACAGGAGTTTCATACATATCTATAGTTGAAAAGCAAAGATTTTATACTAGCAGAAAAGGGAAAAACCACCTATCAAAGGACTCCAAGTACCTATTTACTCGTGTGATGAATTGGCTTCAAGTATTTAATTAAACGAAAAAAGAAGTAAGAAGACATTTTAACATGTTTCTATTGCCAGCCCAAAATCAGGATGTCAGAAACTCATTTTTTTTCTGTTTCATTACATGGTTTTGGAACAAAAACAAAATGGTATAAATGCTTGCAGATCAAACAGGCAAACAAAGCACAGATATGACACAGAATTAAATTTAACTTACACGTTTGTCCAAAATCATTGTAACTTAAAAGCCAAGACAGATATTTACCGATATTTCATTTAATCTCGTTTGCATTTGGCCATTGACTTTTGAAAGAAATTTACAATTTAAGAAGACACAAGGCAAGAGCAGCACAGCCTAAATCTAGAAATCTTGTTTTGCGTCATTGCCTGACTGCAATATTGCTTGAGTTTGGGTGGGGGTAAACGATGCGGGTGTGGATCTAGAGGTATGATTCTTCATCACATAAATTTTAGGATTTGGGGTATGGAACTAAGTGCGGATACGGGTTTGGGATACGGTTAATAAATGTACACTACGACACATATATAAGTACATATTTTTATCAATTAAAGTTATTGAACTAAGATTAATAATCTTTAATATGGGCCTCTACCCACATGGAGGAAATCTCATTCTCCTTAAAGATAGATTCAAAACCAAAGGCCACGATCACTTGAAGAAAATGAGTGAAGCCATCTTAACGAAAAGGCAAGTTCAAATAAAAAAGAACACTGCTGGGGATTCTGTAAAAAGTTAAATATTTCAAACTAACCATCAACAGTTTCTTCAGTAAACTGAGGTTCGAAAGAATAATTTCATATACGTATCACAAATGGTCAAGGCAAGATAGTTGTAAAATCAGCAACATTTTGTCTTGGCGTATGATGTCTGAAATTAACAGTCGCAGGACTTGGATGGTACTTTTATGACTTCAAATTTTTACAGCACTTTGATACAAGATCACCCAAAACTTGCAAGATGTGTGGGGCACATACCTCAGTAAAGGATTTACGAGTCATTTTTTGCAGTAGCATTCTCCTTAGAAATCCTAGTACCACAATCTACTGGATCACTCGCTCTACTACTTTCCAAATTTACATCAGGCACCGCTGAAGACTTTGAGACGTCATGAACCTGTTACAAAGGCACTTCATCATAAATGATCTCAAAGTAAAAGTTTCAACATAAATAACTCGACTTCGCTAACGAGGGAGGTATGAATACAGAATCATGGAAGATCAGAAACCAGCAGGAATGGAAGATATGTAAGCATCAGTGTAAATCTTTTTTTGATTAAGTATGTAGCTCCAATAGTGATTATAATTTAAATCGGGCAGAGAGAGAGAGGGGACTGCTATTTGTGGACTGATATCTCAAATTAACAAGAAAAGAATATATCAGAGCTTGGTCATAAAAGCCTATATCGTTCACTAAACTTGAAACAATTCAAATCTGTTGCTTAATCATAAGCTCTGTATATAAATTTTCACAATACAGACTAATGGTCACCACTGATTCCTCATGTTAGTTCGACAAGAGGATGAAGATTGAATGTTGGCATGTAAGTAGGCATGCCCTCATGACTGTGATTATAAACCAAAGAGGGGAAGAAGATTATAAACCATGGGTGCTAGCAGATTATAAGCACGGTTTGAGGCCGTGGTTTCAAGTCAAATGCTGAAGATGAAGATTGAATGTTGGCATGTAAGTAGGCTGCCCTCACGACTGTGATTATAAACCAAAGAGGGGAAGAAGATTATAACCCACGGGTGATAGCAGATTATAAGCACGGTTTGAGGCCATGGTTTCAAGTCAAATGCTAAAACCAATTCTGCAGCTTCATAAATGAAATGCTGCAAGTGCAATAAGAAAAATGATCTATGCAAGCTAACGAGGAAGGAAATTTCATGTTCTTGTGCAGCCACGCAGGCATTAGTACAAAATTTTCTCTTTAAGATTGTATGGCATGATTAAACTATTTATTCCACACGAAAAGGTATAACCTCTTGGGCTGCTGAAGCATCAGAGGGGGATGGACTCTTCATTTCAGCTGTAACATCTCCAACCGGGGCCTCATTTCTGATAGATTTCCCACCAGAGACATCTGCTTGCTGGAAGTTGTTTACATTTTTTTCTGTAGGTCTTGTAACTTCTTTAACAGAATTATGGTCGTTGTTCGGCTTCTCATTACCAGTTTCACCACTTCCAGTATTCGTAATTCTGGAAATATGATAACATCATCCAAAAGGCAACAAGTGAACAGAAGAATTGATAAATACTGAAATTTTGCTGCTCTTATCCATCAAGTGTAGAATTCAGAAGATCATGCACCTGATAGAATCATTGCAGGGAGTCTGTTCAGGTCTTGGTTTGTTGGAAAATAGCACTCCACGGAGGGGTTTTCCATCTATAACAGTTTCAATGGTATACCCATCTGGAAAACTCTTTGTGACCTTGGCTTGAAAAGTCTTCTTCCCCATAGGAGTCTGGTATTCGTTCAAATAAATGTTCTGCCGACCTGCCACAATATCAGTGCACCTTCAGAAGTCAGTCAAAACCAATTTCACTGCCTCAAGCATTAAATGCACTACACAATGTATCACTACAGGGTCTATACCAAAACGTACTATATATCAGATAACATATGACATGCTAGCACACTTTAATTTTCCTGGAAAAAAAGAGATTCATAGAGAAGTGTACATGTTTAGTATCCACTCGCATAATTACATAAAATTACGCATAGCTTATAGCAAAGAAACAACAACAAATCTTTTTGTTATATATAGCTGTTGGATCATCAGGGAAGCTTGCTTAGATGGATTATCATCCAATCGTTCCTCTCTTCAGTTATTCTTGTCTTTAAGGTCTCCTCTTACCTAACATATTGTCACGATAACAGTTAAAGCAATCGCATTGAGAAAACGAAAGCAACTCATAAATGCATTAACAAGGAGCAGCTTCAGTAAGAAAATTCTGAGGAAGTACAAGGTGGGAAACTACAAAATAAAATAAAGAAGATACAAAAAAAGTTTCTCACTTGGCTGTGTATAATTCAAAGGCAGTTGGTGATGGACATTAGCGTTATTCTCAAATCCAACAAGAGTATTATCATAGGGAGAAGCTAAAGCTTGTTGCTCCTGGCATTTTAACTTCAACTGCTTCCTCAAAGACAACTTCTCTATCCTTCTTTCGCCTCGTTCAGCCTCTCTAACAAGGCCTAGTGATATGAATATACAACATAGATTTCATAAATTTCTCAAAGGGAAAGTTCTAAATCAATATTGTACCATAAATAAGTACAAGCCAATGGAAAGCAGTGTGTGGTTGTTGGTGGATTCAAAGATAGACCTGTATATAGATAATACATGTCCTCCAAGGGTTGAAGGTTATTATCACAACCACCTATGAACACAAGAGCACCTCCCAAGTGTGGATCTAAGCAATCCCCAGCTACTGAGAATCTGGCAGATGGGCCCTCACCAGTGGGCATGACCTCAGTCCATGTACCTGCAGCTGCAGGGACATTTCGAACAAAGAACAGTACACAGACATCCAGCTTCAGATAGCGATCAATTGAATATCATATATCTCTTTAATACAAACCAATCATGACAAACAGCACAATAAGTCGGAGAAATTATCATTTAGAAGTTGACAGCAGCACAGATTTCCTGTATAGTTCTAAAATATCTTTTCTGATTCTCAATGATGAATGCTAACTAAGATCCACCAAGCATCATTTGCTGAATATTTTTTAAAACAATGGCGAAATAATATGATCTCAGAATAATTAATTTCTTATTAACTGTTCTGAGGTACCCCGTTGATGTTGGGGACCACACAAGGACAGACACAAAGACAATTTAGACCAAAATTTTCCTAGATGTTTGGTTTAGAAGAAAGTAACTGCACTTCCTCCTACTCAAATGCTCTATCCCATATCAAGTATTATCACAAACAAAAGAGGAGTGCTGGAGTGGTGAACAATAATGCACTTGATAATTAAGGAAAGAAAACATGGGACACATAAGCCCCTTCATTCAAACAGAAAGATAATGCACTTGAAGAACCACAAAGACAAACTCATTTTGTAAGACTGGGGATTGGGGAAATATTAAATGCTGATCGAAGAAGAGCAAAGAATAGAAAAAAGAGACAGCATTCCGACTACAAAAAGTGATAAAGCATGACCAATATTCCAATCATTTTCAACCACTCTATTCTCATTAGCCAACATGAAAGTCGGGTTCCTCCCCCCACATCCCACCCTCCCCCAACGCCACAAAGAGAAGCAGACACATATATACAAACAAATTTAACCCCCTGGCTCCATCTCTTCCATTATCGTCAGCTCAGATCCATGTCAAATATGGTCACTGCAGTCCATTCCTACTTTCAGGAAGAGTCATGGGCTTGGCGTGATCTTCCATACTTTACATGATTTCTTCTTCCTCCTGCCCTCTTCACTATGTCCTTACGCTTTTTTTTTTTTTTTTAAAGCTTCTCTCATATAAGAGGATCAGGGACAAGAGGCTTGATGGAACAGCTGATGTCATCATATTATTTAGTTTCATTTGTTTGGTTTTCGTTTTACAGGAAAAGAGCTTAAAAGTTTATATGATTCAATAGATAACATACCAACATCAAGCACGTAAACATCATTAAATAGGCTCTGGTCATTAGCGAAACCCCCGAAGACAAACAAGTTCTTCCCAAATGCAATGGTTGTATGCCCAGCTCGCGGTGGCAAATTCTGGCCCGTAGTATTCAACTTGCACCAAACCAGAGTA